GTGTGGGCTTGAGGGGGATTGCGAGGGGGGCGGGGACAGCCAGCTCATTCACAGACGGGCCTCGGGAGAAGAGGGGTGTCCCAAGCCCCACGTTGTCCTTCAGCAGTCGGCAGCGTGCCGGTGGTGGCCCGGTGGAGGGCGGCACACCATCCCGTCAGGCGCAGCAAGACGCGGCACCGCTCGGGCGCGCCAGCGCAGCCGCGGCCGCAGCTGCTGGCACGACGCTCAGCAGTCGGGCTGCTTGGACCACTCTTGGGGTCCTTATCAGGCTAAACTGTCTTACAGACTTGCGACGCCCATAGAACCCCACACGGTGTTGCGCAGGCGTGCGGTCACTCAACCCCCCTCGGGCCAACTGAATGACTCAACTGCCGGTGCCTTTGCACACAGCGGCTGTCGGCCGGCCGCGCCTGCCGCAGCGCGGAGGCCGGCCCGGCGCCGCCTCGGCTGTGGAGCGGCGGGGACACACCAGCGCAGGCTCCTGATCCACGATCAGCTGCGCTCCTGCGTGCGCTGATACTCCGAGCGGGGGAGGGGTGGATGACGACCCGGTGATGTCATCAGGTTGATGGACTTTTTCGCCTGCTGTGCTGCGCGCCGTCGTGCATCTCAAGCAAGACGTCGGGTTTAGGCGCGCCTCTGAGCAGCAGCTGAGTTCTGAAAATCCTGGGCAACGAAAATCCGTTACATTTGCCGGGGCGGCCAGGGGCGCGCAACGGCGCCGCCCCACAGCCGCCGGTTGGCTGGCGGGAGCGCGCCGCGGCGCCTGGCCGGCGCCGGGCGGCAACATTTTCAGACCCATCTGGCAGTGCTGGGAGGGGGGGAGTCCCGAGGGCCCCAAGATGCGTGCGGTTTGGCCGTTAAAGGGAACAGCCGGCAGCCGGGGCATGGGGTTCAAGGCAGGCAGGAAGTCGTGCGGCCCGGGAGGGGCGCGGCCCGGCAGCTGGTGCCGCCCGGCGGGCGCAAGTGGCGGGGACGGCAGCCGCGGCCGACGCCGGGCGAGCCCCCGCCCGTCCCCTCTGCGCCCGCCCCGCGCGCCCGCCGCCCGGGCACGCGCAGTTTGTGGAGGCGCCGTGTGTGGTGTTTGACGAAGCATCCACGGGTGGGACCCTGGGGCTGCCCGCCTGCCGTACAGGCCGCGAGGGCGAGCCGACTGTGATTCGAACGCAACCAAGGAAGCCGCACAACCCCGTTCCGTTCATCCAAAGAGACCCTGAAACAAAACCAGAGACGGGCCCATGCGATCGCGCGACCGGCAGGCGCGACGGGCCCGCCGCGGGAGGCGCGGGCCGCAGATGAGGCCTGGAGTTGATATGCTCGTGCGCGCGCATGCATGCGAGCGCTGCCACGGCGGGGAACGAGCTGGGGCTCGGTCCCACGCGCCAGCAGGGCGCCCCGCGCGCCGCGGCCTGGCAGACCCAGGAGGCGGGGGCGGCCGGGGGCGGCCTGGCCGCCGTGCACGCCCCCGCCGGCAGGCCGGGAAAGCGGACACTGATGCAGTGAAGAGGCAGGGAATAGGGATAGGGAGCCGCTTGAGTGTGGCTGCGGCCCCGCCCCGCGCGGGTCGCTAGGGCGATCTGAGCGCAGGGCGGGGCCGCTGTGATGGCGGGAATGGGGAGGTAGGGAAGGGGTAAGTAGGAGGTGGGCAGGAGGGGCGCTGGGACGCCCGCTCCGCCAGAGGCGGCCGGCGCGCGGGCGGCCGCCGGGGGCGCTGGGGCGGCCCCTGGGCGGCCGGCCGCCCGCGCGCCCGCGGGCGGGTGGGTCGCCCGCGGGCCTTGGTTCGTTGCTTGTAGGGTATGTGTGCGCGCGCGATTGTTTTCCAGCGCGCCTGCCGCCAAGCCGCCTGCGCCGCAAAGCCGCGCGCGCGGCGCCTGGCGGCGCGTTCCATGAGTGCGCGGCCGAGGCAGGGGCGGCACGGCTTATCGTGGATGGGGCGGGTTGCGCTGGGCGCGCGCGTGTGCGTTGGCTTCCGTGTGACGCGGCGACGAAAGCGGATGCGAAGCCACGCGCGCGCCAGGCCGGGCGCGGCGCGGCCGGCTCACGCGCCGTCCTGCAGGCTGCGGCGCGGCGACGGTGGCGGCTGCAGCGGCTGCGCCTGAGCCGGCTGCAGCAGCGGGCTCGGCTGCCACGGCAGCTGCTGCTGCTGCTGCTGCTGCTGCTGCAGGGAGGCGAGCTGCCCGGAGCTGGCACTCGCCCCGCGGCTCAGCGGCTCGCCCTGCAGCTGCTCGCCCCCGCCGTGCGCCGCGTCGTCGCCGCCACCGGCGGCCGCGGCGGCGGACCCTGCAGAGCCCGCGGCCGTGGCGCCGCGACCGGCGCGGGGCATCTGCGCCTGGCGCTGGCGCTGCAGCTGTACCTGCAGCTGCTGCAGCTGCTGCATGTGCAGCGGCCGCACGGGGTCGATCTGGGCGCGGCAGCCAGGGGCGCGGGCGCGGGCAGGGGGTTTGAGGAGGGGTTGGGGCCGTGTTTCGCGTCGCGGGGCGCAAAAAGGTGTGGGGGCAGTTGCTGGGGCCGCAAGGCGGCTGCAGCCGACAGGCTGGGGAGGGCTCGGCCGCCCGGCCCGGCCCAAAACGCCTCTCTGCACTGCGGCCGAGCGCCTGGCCTCCCGCTACAT